AAAAGATGCTCCGTCTGGAAAACGAATAATGTATAATATTATTGGTACCTACCTCCTCGTCAAAAGGAAACAGTTCTAACGAAATCATAAGTAATGTGCGTTACAAATAAAGTAACGCGTTACATTCGTTACTGCCCAACACTGGATATAACGTCATGTTCCGACTAGGTACCGAGCAATTTATAGCACTGGGCAAAACTTCGTGTCCATCTGCTCACTGCAGGTGGTATCGCAATAAAACTATAATATAGGTACTATCATAATCTGTAAATTTATTTTATTTTGAGTATAAGGTACCCGTGGGCTCGTTATGATATCCGTAAACTTATTTAATTGTGCTCATCAGTGGCGTATATAGGGGGGAGGATCCCTAGGCCAGGGCCCATAGTGAAATTGCAGGTTCAATTAAAGCATTTCATGTACCTATATCTACATTTTACACTGCTTACAGTTTTTCACCATGATTAATTTAGCCGGTTGATTAAAATCGTTTTTGAGAAATCCACAAGAAAATGATTGTTAGGACTTGCTTTGATGACTTTGATGTTAAACTCACAGTTAGATAACATTAATTTCATATATATATTTGAAATTGTCAAAATGTTTTAAAAAAAATTAAAAAATTAATTTTAAATAATTATAAAATGAAATTGCTCAATTATTATTTGTATTGTATATGTCATATTTATAACCACTCAACTCCCTAAAATATGTATAGTAATATGGCTATGCTTGAATAGTGATAAATTGACAAAATTGGCCCATAGTTAAAATAATTTGTATGTACGCCACTGGTGCTCATGAGATAGTGTCATATAGGTACCTATCACATGATGATATTGACATCCATATCAATAAATCATAAATATTATATAGGTAAGTCCACTGCGGTTTTCAAATAATGATTATGATTTTAGTTTGTATAGGTAGTATGTATTTCACTGCGTTATAGGTACTGCAACACAATTTATTCCCACATATTTAATTTTTTCTGCCGTTATTGAATGATTTAAAGTTAAGTCGAAAAAATATCAGCACTTACTTGTTTAGTGGACAATTTTATTGTATTCACAGCTTATTATGGGTAATGATAGTACGGGCCGGGAGCATATAATAAAAATAATAATAAGCTATTCCGGTTACCTACTTAAGTAATACAAGTAGGACTACCACGGCCGACCTGATAAGTGTGTGCTTGCATTATTATAGTGTAGATGGGGATATCCCAAGTACGTTTTTAATTTTTACCTTTTTCATAGCCCCCGGGGCAGTGCGCAGAGATGTGAGGCTGAACAATTTCAGAAATTTTCAAGTGAAACTTTTCAAATTTCATGAAATGAAAAGTATTGTAACTTTTCAATATCAAAAATTTAATTTCATAATCGTGAGTCATAATTGTTACATGAGTCTGTACAATTGAGAACTATTAAAATTAAAATTGCCAATCCTATTTGTGATGTTTAATATTTTGGAAGGTATTTATATCTTAAATCTACACTTTACAACTATACATTATTGTATACTTGTTAAAAAAAGTTGATATTTTATCTGACTCTATTACTAAATCATAACAACCACCATTAGTTATTTGTACCTATTACCTAAGAGTTTTTAGAGAAATAGTTTTAAGAGAATTAGTTAGTAGTAGAGAATTAGGAAAGTGAATCTAGTTGATACTTTGGGGGGTCAAAAGTAAAAATTTCCCAGTAGTTTTCACAAGCGCCAGGAAAAACAACATAAAAATTAAGGAAAAACGGGAATTTTTACGCAAAATCGGTTTTCCAAAAAATCGATTTTGGTTTTTGGTGTAACTCTAAAAGAAATGACAAATATACATGAAATTTTCAGTGGTTATTTATATTTGCATTTGATATACACGATAACATTTTCAAAATATTTTGATTTATTTTGAACTGTTTAGGGACATTTTCATTTTCCATTTTTTTTAGTTTTTTTTCTAAAAATATCTATAAAATTTTATTTATTGGTTGCGAAAGCTTGAAAATTTAATAGAAGACTCCTAGTATATTGTTTCAAAGGCAGATGAAAAATATTAAAAATCCTTAGACACAATTTTTTTTATAAGCATTTAAAGTTCAAAAATTAACAAAATATGGAAAAATCACGAAAATTACCAAATTATTTTGAGTTAAGAATTCGTAAAAATTTTTCTTTTTAAATCTAAGATTTGAAAATGTAATACAAGATTCCTTATAAGATTATCTACCTTTATCAATAAAAAAATGTCTATAAGAAAGACAAATTAAATTTTTATGAGCGTTTGAAATTCAAATTTTTACAACATTGGATATTCACTCGATTTCTCATGTAGCGATTTCCTTATTTTGTTGTAATTCAAAAACAAATAACTGTAGATACATGAAAATTCACTGAATGTTTAAATTAGCATTTTCTATACACCATACAATTTTGAAAATATTTTGACACTTACAAGAGCTGTTTACGGACATTTACAGCTTTCAATTTTTTTTAGTTTTTTTTTCTATAAATATCAATAAAGTATTATCTGTTGGGCCAAAAGGTGTAAAAATATTATACAAGGCTCCTGATATATTGTTACAATAGCAGTTGAAAAATATTAAAAATACATAAGCACAGTTTTTTTTTATAAGCATTTAAAGATCGAATTTCGACAAAATTTATCAAATTTCGAAAATTATCAATCAGCGTTATTAATAAATTATAAAATGTTCAGTTTTTATAGCTAGGGATCGCAAATTCAAAACAAAGTTTCTCATAAATAGTCCCATACTGCAACCAAAAAATCTAAAAAATATATGAACACAGTTATTTTTTACAAACATTGTAAATTCAAATTTGGACGAAATTACATATTAAAAAACCTAGAATAACTATTTTAGTTATTTTGTTGTGATTGAATAATATTATTCGTGGGAACTTGAAACTTCTAAAGTGTACTATTATACATCTACGATAGTATCACGGATTTTTGTTGATGTATAACGCGTTATAAGTACCTTATGGATATTGTGATATGATTAATTTGGAATTTATTATAGGTAAATATTATAGGTCAATTTTTTGTTTAATACCATAGATATGTATATAATATGTCGTATACATAGACTGACATACCGTCTCCGCTCAGAATCGTTTTTCTTATATAATGATATTATATCGTTGAATTCAAATTTAATATCATCCATTACACAGTGACCCACTTGTAACCTACTGTACAGCAGAGCGACACCCACTAGCCCACCATTTTTTTTTCTATGAATGTCAATAAAACTCTATTTGGTGGGTAAAAAAGCTTGCAAGCACCCACTTGCCCACCTTTTTAATTTTTAAACCTTATTTTTCGGTATTATGCCTACACATTTTGTATTTTAGAAAATATTATGTTGAGCATCCGTTTAGAAATTAATAATTTATACGATACCTATAGGTAACGTGTATATTGTATAACGTATATTATTGTATAATACATTATACAATATAACTAAATAAGATATAATATTTTCGTTCGATGTTCATATTATAATTAATAACTTTTATCTGTGAGACTTCGAGTTTGGAGATTGCCAGATTGGACCTGGTAAGTGTCGTAACTCGTAGCGAGCGACTACTGTCTACTTGTGGCACTTTATTACTATATACTATATTATTATGTGCTAACCCATTAAAATAAGTAGTATCAAAAAAAAAATCAGTAAACCACAACGTTGTGTGCATATTATGAGTAAAAACAGAAAATCACCAACTTCAAAAGTATATAACTATCAAAATAATGATTTCAACAGTTTTTTTTTTGCACCATTGTTCTTAATTTTTTGAAATACATGGTTCGTTCCTTTATTTAAAATACACGTAGCCAGGTAGGTATCTAATGTTTTATAAGTTTATATAGGTATTTACAATTTTCATTTTGAACACTGGATATCTATTCTCCCTCCTGATGGCCAAAAGGAGGAATGTAATTTTATGAGAGCCCCGGGGTGTACAATTTCTAAATACGGTCCTGCCTATGTCCCTAGGTTGGGTTTTTTACGATATTATAATTTTTATACAATTTTTAAATTGTAATAATATTTACCCACTCATAATTTACATAAACATTTTAATATACAACGTAGGGACAGAGGTAATGTTCTTAACTTAAGGTTTGATAATTGGTGAATTTTCTCTAATATTAAATGTAGGTATATTAACACCGGGTTGATTCTGCTAAACGTAAAGTTATTAAGTTACGAGTGGGTCAGAGAGAGATAACAAAAAGTGCGTTGACATCCTCTTAAGGTTAAGCCTTTAAGAGCACGCCGTACCCTCATAATAATATGTTGTCTCCAACACATAAAATACTAAAATTTAAGTCCAGCAGTTTCAATTTTGTATTGTTAGCTTGAATATAAAAGTGAATTGTCCTATTATCAAATTTAAATATAAGAAAATTATCTGACAGTCGACAGAGTGCATACTCTCGTTGATCGTTTTCAATAATTTAATTTTTAAGTTAATTTAAGCATTTTCAAATATTAATATCATACATAGGTATTAGGTATGTACTCATAAAGTCATAACTCTCTTAAATTTTAAAACATCGTAAATAACCCACGAAAAACACAGATAATCTTCTTAAACGTTTAAGTTTTATAATAGGTCATACCCGCAATTCCCTCTAATATTTAAGCTAACAACACAAAATTGTAACTGCTGGACGTACATTTTGATATAATATAACCTTTTAATTGGTGATGATAAAATATAAATATAAGCGTTTCAACTTTCATTGCACACTCGACATTTATGGGTTTTTTTAAAAAATATTATTACGGCTCAATAATTTTGACAAATTTAATAAAATAGAATGTTTACATAGTATTTGCACAGTTACCTAGTTACAGTTGCTTGTGTTTTATTTTACTAAAATAATAATTTTATTTTTATTAATTTTATTAAAATAACCTTTTTATTTTTTTTTACATTTATAGTTGAATTATTTTGTAGAAGAAGTAGCTATGAGTCTTACGAGTTTATCTCATCATGAAGATTTTACAAAAAAGGTTAGTAACTGTACCTTATTATTTAGTCATTTTTTGACGTCACACGGAATTCGATGAGGTATACTTTTCGTAACAAATAGTATTGGAATGTTAGTGAAATTACAGTGTATAAAGGTGGGTTTCCACTACATACATGTACGTGTAAGTTCATAAAAATACTTTTCTGTGATTGGTTGGTATACATGGTAATCTTTTGGTATACCAGAGTGTTATACGTTCTTACCACAGGCTTGACCATGATACCATGAAGTTGGATCAAGTTCAAATTTTCACGTGTACACGGCTCTATAATATAGAGCCTATATTGATAACATAAGAATATATGAGGTAACTAGAATGTTACCAATCCTAAACCATATTAACCGATATGGTAAACGTTTGTGAGACCGTTCATGGCGAACGTATCCGGTCAATATATGCACGTAAACGTACCTACACGTATGTAGTGGAAACCTACCTTAAGACGAAATAAAAGCATGAGATCGCTAAAACATAAGACAGAATAGGTACAAATAAGTAAATACTAAAATAAGTTATTAAGCTGGTAGAGCATTCTATTTATAGGGTGGCAACCGTGCATAGGGGGTGCAATGGAATGTAAATAGTGAGTGGTTCCTTATATGGGGTAAGCAGAATGAGATTGAGGTGAGGAGGTCAGGTTCGTCAACTGCGCCGCGCCATCAAGAAGGGAAGAAATAAAAGGAGTACATATCTTCTGTTCCAATGCACATAGTATATTAGGTATACTTGCTCTTATAATTGTGTACGTGTGGTTGGAAATTGTATAGGATAAAAAAATACAAAACAATGACTTAAATATTTCCCAGTTATAGAGTGGCTATGTGACGTATAAAGTGATTAACCAATTTAGTAGTATTATAATACAAATTTAAAATTCTAAAATGTTAGGTCATACAACCGATATCAAGATTCAGAGCTTTTGTTTATACGGCGATTGCTAACCTGACTTGGCTGCAAGATGATGCTTATGTACTCGCTCCTTTAGATTTGTTTGAATCAATACGCATGGAAAATCTTCTTACATTTTATAAATTACCTCACATATCTGTTTTTGTGAGTATTTAACACTTTTCAATATAATTATAATATAATACCGTGATAACCTTTTTAATTTATTTTTAGCAAAAATTGATATTGTTCAAAAAACCTGATGAAAGAACAGAACTTGAATTACAAACAATCAAATGGATGTTCGAAATAGGATTTAAATGTTTTCAGCTTTGTCCAACTGTAAGTTGGTGATTTAATTAACTTGATTGTTTTTAACATATTACTATGTTAGCGGAGGTTTGGAGAAATCAGACTACATAATTTATTGTGGCTGTACGAAAACTAATTGGAAAAATAACAACATATTTCTCAAAAAAATTGGTGTTAATGGTGTAGTTGTTGGGAGGAGATAACTTCACATACGTCTGAGATTATTTACCTATACTAGATATCTAGAACTAATACATAGTTAAAAAAAGTTATAACTATAATCCGATTTTCTAGGTAATAATAAATATAAATTGCTTATATCTCGGTATTTCTTAAATTCAATAATACGAATAAAACGTATCTTATTGTTACATAAAGCAAAAGCATTATGATATGTATTAGATATTAAAAATTAAATATAAATAATTTAGGCTTATTTTGTAGAATGGTCATAATTAGAATCGATCCATATTTTTTAACTGAACATGGGGAGAAAAAATACTCGAATGTAAATAAATAAATTACATCAATCGTTTTATAAACAATAGTATTATATATCAGAGTGACTTTTCTGTTTTTTTTGAAAAACTATTATTATAACCCATCATGACCCCACGCAATATGAAAAATAAACTACTTGACTTAGATAAATGTTTTTACCATTCAAATTGTTCTTATAATCAGGTTTTCTTTGGCTATTTCGAATTTTTCCAAGAAATTAAAATTTTTATTTTCAGTTTTAAAAATAAAAATAATTTTAGATTCTGAGCGGAGAGAGGCGAAGCTAGTGGTTTTATAATGGTGTTTTTTTTATATCTTTTGTACAAAATTTCTACCAGAAAGAGTGCTTCGATTTCAACATATAGTAATTTATATTTTAGCAAATTTTATCAAGATGGTACCTTGAGAGGTCATTTTTCAATTTTATCAATAGTTATTTAATACCATGGGAAAAACCACCGAAAAATTACGAAAAACCGCTAAAAATGGGATTTTAATTTCTAACGCTTTGTTTACCACCATAGAGACGAATAAAAAATAATAATATTATAATATTAATTCAACTTACATGATATCATAATAAATAATAACAATATAAAATATCCAGACTGACAAACCGTCTCCGCTAAAAATCATTTTTCTTATACAATGATAGTTGATATTATATCATTTAATTCAAGTTTATTACAATCCATTATACAATGACCCACTTGTACAGCAGAGTGACATCCACTTACCCACTTTTTTTTTTTATATTACAATATGAACAGCGCAAAATGCTATAAATAATATATAGAAAAAAATGTTCATCTAGTCTTCCTGTTATAATCTGTATACATATTAACAATAATTTTAAATGTATATTTATGTACTATATTTTAATATGAGTGAAACAGTAACAGATAAGAAATAAAATGATCACAACTATCTTGACATGATTTTTCTCTCCAGTAAATTATATTTATTTAAAAATACTGCTAATTATTCAGACTTTAGGATAATGTAGTCCATCTTTCCTATCTTAATTTCCCAAATCAGTAATGCCATTACAATTATTTTTATTCAGTTAATTTCAGTTTATATTAAGGATTTTTTTAACTCTGACGCTGATTTGGCCTAGCTTAAAGCTGGAAAATCTAGATTGACAATTTCTTGTATTTATTTTTTAATAATATAGGTTATAAGTCTTATTATTTGTTTAATATTATTAATAACTGAATGAACATTAATATATTTAATTTTCATTAAAACACCATAACAGTTATTTGAAAAACACAATTTAACTAAAAATACATTTTAGGCTATTTTACGCGCCCCCACTTGTTTTATAAATGATAACAAATTATAAACAAGAAAAAAAATATTTTTTTGAAATTTATTTTGCATAGGAAATTTGTAAAAAAATTGCATATCTTTAAAAAGTCATATTAAATCAGCAAATGCAGTTACCAAAAATCTGTTGTACCTATATATTTTTAAGAAAAAAAATTCTCAAAGTTAATCGTTACAAATAATTTTTTTAAAAAACCAACGACGCCTGGGTACCTAATATTGAAACTTGAAAGTACAAACTCGATTTTTTAGTAAAAATATTACTAATTTGTTGTAATCATGACGTGCTGCTGTCATGATTACAGCGGTAATGTTCTAAAACCGTACTCATACCTCCGCCCCGCAGCGATACCATAATTTTAAAGAAATTACTGGTTACTGGTTAGTAGTTAGTTAAAGTCCATATTATCTAGACCAATGCCATATATAATACACATCAATATGAAACTTTTGATTAATATTTTAGATATACCTACACTAATAATTTATTCTTAGGATATTAAAATGGCTCTAATGAGAAGGGCAACGTATAAATGTTATGGCCCTGGTAGATGGATACTGAAACAGGGGCATTTATCGACGAACATGTATTTAATTGTCAAAGGACAAGTGGTGATTACTGAAGATGTACAAAACCCTGTTACTAAACTTATGGAGAACACTGAACGTTGCAAATTGAAGGAAAAACATTCTTTTGGCGAAAGTGCTGTTATGTTTAACACACTTAGAACCAATTCTGTTCAGTCATTAAGTAAACATTTTTTTTATGCGGATACTAAACAATTTTATTGGTTCTAAAAATTCCTCTCTGTTGTAAACTTGTAACTTTGTAACTATGTACATAAAAAATGCTCAATAGAAAAGTGTTGTCCTTTATAATAATATGTGATAACCCAAGTATGATATTCAGAAGCTGCAAATTTAAATTATTTGTAATATATTTATGAATATTATAAAGGTGCGGTGGAATTGATTAGCATTTCGAAAAATGATTTCACGGACATTATCAAAGATAATTTGCAACTTAAGTGGAATGAAAATTCAAAAGCAATTAAAAATTCTTCATATTTTAAACACCTGAGTTTGATGGAATTACATAAGTGTAGTACTATTTCATCTATCAAAACATTTAAAAATCATGAATATGTTCTCGGTAACTAAAGTATACTTAATTTTTAAATATACATGATACGATAATTTAAATTAATAACAAAATCAACAGTATAGGTACCTACCTAATATTATTTTTTTGTCATAGGAAAAGGAACAGGAGATGTTGATTATGCTTACTTCGTATTAGAAGGTGAAATATCTTTAATACTGCATTTGGAAATCGAAGAGATTGTTAAAAGTTGTAGAAATGTAAGGTTCAAAGTGTACAAACTAAGAAAGACTTCGGAAAAATTGAATAAAAAAAAATATTCAAATGTATATGTCGACACTTGTACATTTTTACCGGACTCGTGTTTTAACATTGGTAACAAATTTAACTTTATGAGATAATATAATAATAATAAAATTGATGTAGGTATAGTTCACCAATGGTTTAGGGAACAAAAAAATTCTAAATATATCTAGCCCAGGTTACGTTGGTTCGACCCCGAGACTTTCATTTTTAACAAACTATGGGTTAGGTTTGGTAACTTATATTTATACATTTATGACATTTAATATTTTTTACCCTTACACGTAAATATGCAGTACAAAATGTTTTTGTCTTTTGTTCTACTAACACTTATTATAATTATTCATAACGTATTTGGAGAGGTCTAAATTTTTGTTTATTTATCGACTATATTGCTGAAATCTCAAAATTTGCTACACATTACATTATATAATTGTACTTTTATATTTAATCATTGGACCTAAAATACATTTCAATGCATATCGTATTACTGATGTTTAAATATTAATTCTTATTGCAAGGTGAAAACGTAAAGGACAAAGAATTTATGACCACTCATATTGCCGAAACAAAATGCTTGTGCGTTCCTCTTTGGTTCATGGCCGAAACACAAAAACTTAAATGTTGGGAACTTGTAAAGTTGGATCTCAATTCCATTATTCCATCTAAGAACCAAGTATTTTCAAAACTCTATCCGGGAGGTTATAAATTAAAATAACTAATTGATTTAAAAAAAAATAATATTAATAAAAAAATAATAAAAAAATAATTATGTGGAAAACAGATTTTTTTGTTTTTGTTAATATATGATCAAGACAACTATATAATAGTATGCTTTTTATTATTAATACCATGGAATTTAAATATGAATTTGTTTCATCTTTGAAATAAATACGGTTTTTCATTGTAATGCTTTTAAGAATTCTTAATATGATATTAATATGCAGATATTTTAGACTTTAAGCTGTATTAGAATTGTGTGATAAATATGTGTACATAGTACATGGGTTTATCTACTGAAAATGAAAAAAAGTTCATATAATATTATATTAAAGTGCAACGATATGTATCAACCGTTAAGACTCGTTATAATGGTGTTCATGCATTTAGATAGGTACACTTAATAACTAAACTGTGTTGATGGTAATTAGGCAGGAATATGATATTTTTATAATATTACATGATTTTAATGAAATTATGATATTTTTCACTAAAATATTGTGATATTTCCATATGCTTTATTAAAATTTTGATATTTTTACTTATTTTAGCAAGATTTTTGTATTTACACACAGACAGCTATGTTTTTTATCAAAATTAGTAGGTACATTTTAACGTATATTCACATTGATGAGTAAATTTTTAGATTTCAGCATATTATATTCTACCTACGTATTTAACGATAAAATGATTAAATTATATATGAGTAGGTATATATAGCGTTCTATCAGTATGCATATGGCTACGTTGTGATATATTTTATGTATCAACTGTAAATATATATAATTAATATATGTTTTAGAAATTAGGTATCAAATAAATCATGTATCGAAAATATTTTATGTAAATTATTATTTAGAATAATAGATCGAGTTTATATGTATGCATGAATGCTGTTTAATTAAATATATATCGATGTACCTACGTATGTATGTATGAATACTGTTTAATTATATGAGAATATGTAAGGTATATATATATATATATACTAGTATGTGTGTATGTAAATATGTGTATGCCTATATGTAGGCGACTAATTGATGTGTATATATGAATGTTTATAGGCTTATATTTATATATATATATATATATATATATATATATATGTAATCCATATAATATGTTTAGGTGGTTGTAATGTCGAATATACATATCGGTATATGATTTAATGTATACTACATGTATACTACTACCTTTATTTAACTATGTTTCACATGTTCATGTAACTGTAGAAATAGGTATTGGCTCGATTAAATTTTTTTTTACTTATTGTTATATAATATATAATTCTCACTGCACTTGATGAATAATAGTACAATAATAACAGTAAGAGATTTATTTTTCCTCTTAAATACCTATAATCCATGTACCTATGTGTATATAAGCTATGATTTTAGTCTAATGTAATCTCATACAATATTTCAATGTATATATGATTAATTAAAAATATAAGTAAGTATCTGTAATATTATTCATGATAGGTTGGCCTAATATTGTTGTGTATATATATTATATATATACAAAGATACAAGAATGTATGTACGTTCCCATCTATATGCTCATTGTAGCATGAGCCTGTATGGAAAATGACTAATAACATGAAGATTTATAAATGTTGTATTGATAATGATGTTACTATAATACTACAGATGTAACGTTAATTACTGTGTAGGTACCTATTTCGCGGTGCATCCGAATTGTATGCCAAAAAAATAAATATAAATCGGGTCGTCCGAATTGCATGCCGTCTCTTGGAGGGGTCTGTTCGAATTGCATGCCATCTCTTAGAGGGGTATATCCGAATCAATAACTTACTTTTCAACTGGAGGATCGGGATTTTGTTACATTACAATAAAACATATAAATATTGTAGAAGGTGACATTGTGAATAAGAATCATAAAATAAAACTATTTTTTTTTTATCGACAACAAAGGCCATTAGTTAAATAAAACTATTGTAGTCAGTGGTGTATTGGTAAATATATTTATGGGTATACGCACCAATAAAATATATAATATTATGTAACCTAAACAATCAAATTATATCATCGTATATATTATATAACGTTATTGCAGTTCAATTAGTACATAGTTTTTAACATTATTTTATTAATTTTTTATAATTTAACAATAGAAAATAAAACAAAATCAACTCAAATGTCAAAAAAATTAAAATAATAATAACATTATTATTATAGGTATATAATCTACAGAATTTTCCACAAAGATTTTTTGTATTCAATATTGGGTTTACTAAATTGAACTTAAAGCCTTAAAATACATTAAACACAACGCATATTGTTATATATAACTTATATTCAATACCTACTTCAATTGATAAATAATTCATTAATACATAATAACGAATAACGTTTTTTTCCTATATGAACTATTAAATAAATTTTAAATCTTATTTGGTTTGCTGGTTATTTTGGAAACGTATACCCGTAAAATAAGATTTTACATTGGGTATACGCCGAAAATCGAAAATCTTCTGATGGGTATACGGCGTATACCCGCGTACCCGTACCAATACACCACTGATTGTAGTTTAGGGTAATCAAGTGAGTGTATTTTAAATAATATTATTTTTAAATTTGGTGGTTTTTTTTGACATTTCGGGCACACAATATTACAATTATTTAAATAAACAAAATAATATATAATAATAATTCATAATAATAAAATATTATTAATCTGTTGTGAAACAGACCGAGACCACAATACACTACATTACTCCAATATAGATACTGTTTGGGAAAATATTTACACGGATATAAAAATATTTCAATCCAGAAACTAATCACTAAACAGTTGTAACAACCATACATAAAAGAGCGTTTCTATACATGAATTTAAAAAAAAAAAATTAGGAAAGTACAAAAAAAAGTTTAAGTTGTTTAAGTGCATAGTAAATAAACGTGTGGTGTATGGCATGCAATCCGGACAGACCCCTCCAAGAGATGGCATGCAATTCGGACAGACCCCTACAAGAGACGGCATGCAATTTGGACATTTTTTTTTTTTGGCATGCAATTCGTTTGCAGCCCTATTTCGAGATTTTTGTAATAAACCGCATAAAGTACCTATCTACTGAAATGAGAGATATTGTTAATAGTTCTTAATTTTCCGATATTATAACTTATACAATGATATATAGAGGAGGTGATATGCCTGTGTGTGTGTGTGTATATTATACAGTAATAAAAATCTTTACGATTTAATTAAAAATTAAATTAATTAATTGAATCAATACCTTACATTGTAATGATGATATAGTTTATAAAATCTGAACAATATGTATTGATTGATACATTTCGTTTAATTACAAATTCACTTATTAACTATTTTAAAGTGTCGTTTTCATTTACCCACGAATTATGACTATTGTCAAAACCAAGCCATTTTACATATAATTTGTTTTTATGTTTTTTTTATAACACGTTCAATGAGAAAGGTATCGGGAAAAAATGTTTTTTTTTTTTAATTCTTGTACATAAAAATTTCCTAATATTAAATTATTTAAACTATATTTTAGTTGATATGTTATCGGATCTGTATTTAAAACTTTAGAAATAGTGATAACTTCTGTTGTCCAATTTGGTGTATAGCCTTTACTAAAATTATGTTTATACTTTGATATTCTTACTTTATATCATTAATTATAAAATTTAAATTTTTTTGATGTATTAATGTTTTTTATATTTCTTTTTATTGTAATCGGCTTGGTCCGAGCTTCGTGTGGTGTACATTTTATTGTTGAATGTTTTGTGTTATTATAATCATATACTAATTTTGAAATTGAATTGTACCAAGTTCATGAACCTGTTGATGTAAAATGTTTGTACATTTTATTTTTTATAGTTTTAATTACTCTTTCAGCCATTCCAGCTTTTATACTATTGTAGTGTTGTATGTTGAATAATGTTTAATATTATATTTTTTGATAATACTTTGAAATTCGCTGTTATAAAACTCCATTATATGTTTGTAATAATTTTGGTTGATTTTTTTTAGTATTTTTATGTACCTTTTACTAGAGAAGTAAGACAATTAGTGTAAATAATAAATCAAAATTGTATATATTTAATATTTGTTGTAAAATACTATTAACTGATTAAAAAATAAATATATAATGATAAGAAAAAAAATATTTTTATTTATTTCAGAAAATTATATTAAACACCGTTTTGAATTTTCTCTAGAAAATTTTAGGTAGATTGGTTTCACTGTAAGTCATACATTCCTCCTTGAATTTTTTTCATCTCCCTGTAAAAATTAACTCAGAAGCCCCAATCCACCTTTTTAGAATTTTTACCTATACGGTGATCAAATGTGCTGCAAGTGGGACTTTCCACCTTGAACTTTTTTTTTTTCCCTGTAAAAATTAACTCAGAAGCCCCAAATTACTACTACTTTCGTTATTTAATATTCGGTGTACGGTGTTCAAAATTTATCTTAAATTTTCCGTTGCCTGGAATAAAAATTCTGAATCGCAGCAGTACATTATCTGGTACCTAGGCAATCTAAATGAGGTACCTAGATCCCGCACCCCGTGCTGTTTGTACGTAAGTATCAAAATTATACCAAGTTTGTCGTTTTTACTTAATACCACCTATGATTGATTGAAATAATCAATTTATTTAACCCCATTAAATATAATTTATATTTAAAAAGTAAAGCAAATATATATATTTATTTTTATTATTATTAATATAATTATAATATCTTAAAAACGAATTTCAACCATTTATAAACAAACATTTCCATCTAAAATCTCAACATTCCTGTTTGAGCACCTCCCGGGGTTGTTCCTCTCCCTTTTTAAATTAGCCTATGTTTTAAGTTGGACCAAAATAGACACAGTGTAAAAATTTCATCAACATCGGTCCAGTATAGTTTTTAAGTGAAAGAGTAACAAAGTCACTATAACTTTCGCGTTTATAATGTTAATAGGATTAATACATTTTCTTACTTTCATATTTATTTTCTAATAAATAAACTATTAATCAGAGCATGTTTGAGATAAATACCAATAAATGTACTTATACATTTTAGATTCCGAGTGGAACGATGAATGTATTGATTTTCAAATGATGTGTGTTTTATTTTTTTTATTTTATTTTTTTGTGTCTGTGTACACGATAAGTAGTCGAAATAATGCTTCGATTTTCAACTTCAGTATCTTGTTCGATTGGAAAGCGAATCTAGTTGGTGCATTGGGGAGGTCAAAATTTAAAATTCCAAATAGTTTTCACAAGCGCCGGGATTAAACACATAAAAATTAAAAAATAACGGGAATTTTTACGCAAAATCTGTTTTCCAAAAAATCGATTTTGGTTTCTGGTGTAACTATTCTAAAAATATCAACGAAATTTTATTTGTTGGTTTCGAAAGCTTAAAAATTTAATAGAAGGCTCCTAGTCTATTGTTTCCAAGACAGATGAAAAATATTAAAAATCGTTAGTCACAATTTTTTTTTTATAAGCATTTAAAGTTCAAAAATTGACAAAATATGGAAAAATCACGAAAATTAGCAAATTATTTTGAGTTAAGAATTCGTAAAACTTTTTCTTTTTAACTCTAAGATTTGAAAATGTAATACAAGATTCCTTATAAGATTATCTACCTTTATCAAAAAAAAAAAATGTCTATAAGAAAGTCAAAATAAATTTTTATGAGCTTTTGAAATTCAAATTTATACAACATTGGATATTCACTCGATTTCTCATGTAGCGATTTCCTTATTTTGTTGTAATTCAAAAACAAAAAACTGTAGATACATAAAAAAATCCACTGAATGTTCATAATAGCATTTCCTATACACTGTACAATTTTGAAAATATTTTGACTCTTTTTGAGCTGTTTACGAACATTTACAGCTTTCAAATTTTTTTTTTTTTTCTATAAATATCAATAAAGATATATCTGTTGGGCTAAAAAGTGTAAAAATTTAATACAAGGCTCCTGATATATTGTTACAATAGCAATTGAAAAATATTAAAAAAATACATATGCAAAATTTTTTTTCATAAGCATTTAAAGATCGAATTTTGACAAAATTTATCAAATTTATAATTGAATAATTATTTTGTAGTTGATAATTTATAAAATGTTCAACTTTTATAGCTAAGGATTGAAAATTTAAAACAAGATTCCACATAAGTAGTTAATTCTGTTACCAAAAAATTTACAAAAATACATAAGTACAGTTTATTTTTATAGTCATTTTAAGTTCAAATTTGGATGAAATTACATAAAAAAAACATAGAATACCTAACTATTTTAGTTATTTCGTTGTGATTGTATAATATTATTTGTGGCTACTTGAAATTTCTAAAGTACACTATTATATATCTATGATAGTATCAGGGTTTGTTGTTGATGTAGTTATAAGTACCTAATGGATATTGTGATATGATTAATTTGGAATTTATTATAGGTACCTATAATTGGTCAATTTTTTTTAGTACCATAGATAAGTATATAATACGCCTTATACCTAGACTGACATACCGTCTCCCCTCAGAATCATTTTTCTTATACAATGATAATATTATTATATCGTTGAATTCAAATTTAATACTATCCATTATACATTGACCCACTACTGTACAGCAGAGCACATTTTTTTGCTTTATATTCATATTATATAAGTACCTATAACGTATATGAAGAAAAAATAATAATTTGTTATCCGTATAATATGATTATATTTCGTTGCCACCTAAATCGATTGAGTCGTCATCGCATTGTTATTTGATAATCCGATTTTCTCGTGTCATTAAATTATTATTATATCAACGCGTCAAGTTTGATTTAATATTTATTGCGATTGATAATTTTCATCAAAATAACCTAATCGCAACAGATTTTGATTTATGCGTCAACACAGAACAAAATATTTCAGACATGAATGATATTCAGTTAACGCCGAAAGAACTAGCATTTTTACAAACCGTGTCGCCCATGGAAAACATTATATAGGTACAAAATATATAAATCTGTTGGGCAAGTAATATAACTAACATAATGTCTTAAAGCTACACCTTGAGAAACAATTTAAGAGCTTTACACTGGTTAGATAAATTCCATATAGGGTGGACAGTTCTCTATCCGCACCAAATATAATCCACTGGAGGTGCAGCACACCAACAGCACAACCTTTTGCCAATTTTAAGAAGCCGCCTGCTAAAAGCTGCAAACCTTCGCTTGGTGCGTTTATTCACCGACGCTCATCCCAACTGGTCCCCGCTATTGTCATCAGCTGACAAGGCCTCCGGTCGTACTGACCTTCCTTCAACGACGTTGACGATTTCTATTGACTGTGGTGGCAATATCCTCGTCACCGGGACAGGCCCTAGAGCAGAAATCTGGCCGGTCGTTATAACGATCGGCCGTGGTAAAGCGACAGTGAACACGAAAGTCAGCGACCGCCACACGGCCGCCACTCGCAGGGCTTTGGTTAAAGCGTTACAGAGGAATACTAGACCACAAGTCTTAACCACGTTTTTGCTTTTACTTGGTACTACCTGCATTCCACGGTCGATAGTAAGCTTACACGTCAGGACTTGCACAGGAGTGGCATTTCCAGGATTTGACCTTCTGCAGGTCATCGTACGAGTTCTCCGCACAGACGACATTTTCTTCAGTTATCTCAAGTCTTGGTTTACTTCTTGGAGCCGTGGGCAGAGTCCTTTGTAAACGTGCTGCTTCGACCTTGTCGTCCACGGTTTGTAAAAATGCTAGTTCGTTCGACGTTAACCTGCGCTTGGTGCGTTTATTCACCGACGCTCCTCCCAACTGGTCCCCGCTGTTGTCATCAGCTGACAAGGCCTCCGGTCGTACTGACCTTCCTTCAACGACGTTGACGATTTCTATAGACTGTGGTGGCAATATCCTCGCCACCGGGACAGACCCTAGAGCAGAAATCTTGCCGGTCGTTATGACGTTGGGCCGTGGTAAAGCGACAGTGAACACGAAGTTTAGCGACCGCCGCACGGCCGCCAATCGCAGGGCTTCGGTTAAAGCGTTCAGAGGAATACTAGACCACAAGTGTCTTAACCATCGTCGTCGTCGTCGTATAATATAGTATTTACAATTTTTACAAATAATTTTATTTCCATGTACCTACATAATAATTTGTTATCATAACGCTGTATATTATAATGTTTACTGTTTTGTACAAATAATTTTATTTCCATGTACCTATATAATAATTTGTTATCATAACGCTGTATATAATATTTACTATTTTTGTATATATTAATTTTATTTAAGAAGACGGTCAGTTAGTCTAATATATTACTAAGTGTATTTGATGATCTTATTGTGAAAAAAGTAATTTATATAATATATCCTATTTACGTGGAACCTTGTTTTAAATTTTCAATCCTTAGCTATACAAGTTTTTAAGATTCAAAATACAGAATATATTTTTTAAGCAGGCAAACAAGAACTTAGATCTAAAAAAACAAAATTATTATGCTCGTGATATATTATTGTGCATAGGATAAGTATGAAATTGATCGAAGAGTACTTTGGGCCAACAGATTTCCTGAAATGTTTGTCATAATTAGGGCTAGGATTTATATGCATTTGCATGTTTTTTTAATTAAGTCCAAATTGATTGTTTGTCAGATTTGTCCACGATTTCGCTTACTCTCGTTTAAATAAAATCAATTTTTTTTTGCATATTTTGAACACAATGCATATAATTGCATATTTATAGATTTTTGAGTTTTTATTTTTTTTAACTTAAATTTTTGAATTTTTATAAATTATTTTTAATTTTAAATGGCGTTTATTTCATAATACCGATAGTTTTTGGTTTATCCGTCGAATTGTAAATATATAGTATAAATATTACCTATCTAATCTTATCTTGGTCGGACGACCGATAGGATTACCTACACAGTATATTTTAACGACGTATTTAATTTCATTAGTACGACGTGTAAATGTGCGTAAATGTGCGTAAATGTGCGGACACTTATACTTAAAAAATTGAGTGGTTTTAATAACAGCATAGAATTATAAACGGTGAATATGAAAATGAAGTAGAAGATATTAATATTAATCTAACTCCAGGGAAAATCGCGTCATTCAAATATGCACCAATAACCTCGTGTGATGTGGAAAGGAGTTTTAGTCAGTATAAATCTATTCTACGTTGAAATCGCCGGTCGTTCGTATTTGAAAATTTGAAACAACATATTATCATAGTAGCGTGTAATAATGTTTTACTTTGAATATACCTACATCTAACAATTCCTAAATCTCATACTTTACACCCAGATAATTATATTACTACGCCACAAAACTAATTCATAAGTCATAATTAAATTTCATAATAACAACAATAAATAATGTATTAAATAACCGTAACTACACTGTATTTTGTACCATACACCATAGTAGGGTATTATATTAACCAAACTATGTAGGAATACGTATAACAATTCAATACTGTCATATTGTCATAAATAATAATATGTTATTAACTATTAATACGACAAAATCGTTCAACAACAATAATAAATATCTTAAAATATATACTGCTGCTATACGTTCGTTTTTTTCTCCACGGTAAATATGTAACGTGCTCGTAGCTTGGTGTCTACTATATTGTAGTATAGATAATAGACAAGTGGCTACTAGAACATTAACGTTGCAGGTAGCAGACACTTCTTCTGATGATGTCGTCGTGGTTGTTGATAGAATAAGTAGACCGATATAGTATATTGTGAATTTGTTAGTTTACTTTAATAATTTTGACAAAGTCCAAATAATGTCATACAGAGTGGCGTGAAGGTGCTTGCTCTAATGGGTGGTCACTGGTCGTACACATCTGAATACAGGCCGATTCGGGCTCCCTTATGTATGAGGTTCCCCGTACCCCTTGCCTATAGCGGTGCGAGTCATTTGGTTGAAGGTTTAGTGATCGAAAAAAAGCGATCGAAATGTCATGTGATCGAATCTTTTTTTGGTCAAAAACAGATGATCGAATATTTTATTAATATAGTCGAAATATTTTGTGGTGGAATGGGTTTTTTGGTCGAAGTAATGATAATAATTATCTTTTCGATTACTTTATCTAGTATTTTTATAGATGTACCTAGCCCATATGAAGGTATATCCGACTATATCGTATAGTAGGTACTAGTGTTAGTATAGTGTTTATCATCTGTTCAATATACTTTGGTATTTTATACATATTTTTGCAACAACAGTTAATTTTTTTTTATTATATATAAATATGAATATTGATATTGTACCTAGCATCCTGGAGGAATATTATTAAATATAAATAATTTCATATAAATAAATAAATAAATAAGTAGGTACCTATACTAAAATATATACGAATTTAATTAATGCCCTTCTTTTAAAAAGTTGGGGATGTACTTACTAACTACTGGTATAATTGTTTGATGTTCGATGTAAGTTAGGACTTAGGTTTGGTTACAAACGAAACTACGAAAGTGTGAAAAGTAAAACATATTTATACAAATGTAATACTTATTTATCAAGTATCACTTTCACCAATTTTTATATTAAACAAGCATGTGATTACACTATTAACTACAAGTTAGAAACCAGAAATTATAGACGGTAATCAAAATATGTTAAATTTTAAATAATAATAAATTGTAAAAACTAATTCGTATAATTGACGAATAATTGTTGCTGTTAATATTTGTAACGTGTGAAAGCTCTATCTGTTATAAAGTTAATAATGTACTGGAGCGAAATCCGCGCCCAAAATCCAAATTACCTTTTTTGAAATGTAAAATTCTCCATGATTTTTAACTGAGTTAAACACTAGGGTCAAGTGGGGAGAATGAAAATAGGGTGATATTAATTTCTCATCGATGGGCGGTGACTGGTGATAATATATTTTAAATCCAACCTAAAAAAATAATAAAATTCTCATTTTCTCCTTAGCCACGTCCACGTGTAATAGATATGGGGCAAATGGAAATATAATATGTGTACCTACTTCATACATTCAACTATTCAAGTATAATAGGTATGAAATCAATGCCACAGATATCTATATTATACTAGATAAGGTACTCGGGGCGTTGCACATAGGAAATAGTGAAGCCAGATTTCAAGCGCTTATCAGTGTATTATCACATTGGCGCCATACAGCTGGTTGGCAAAATATTCGAATTCTCTACTGGAACTAGCATAGGTAATAATTACATAAATTCGTTACTTTTTTTACATAACTTATAGGCCCGTGACTTCAAATTTTTAATCTGTTGTGTATAGACTATAGATGTTACTATGTTAGTATGGTACTAAGTATTTTATGGCATTTGTATTAAGATTAAGTATATATGAAAAAGTAAAAACTCATCTTGTATAATTGTTTATTAATTATTAATATAATTTTTACATAATTTCATGTCAAGTTATCATAGATTAACTTAGGTAGGTACCGAAAAAAAAAATGAATAGTCTGACCAGGTTTATATCTATTTGTACATCCATACGCAACACATGACACTGGCTGCATGATTACATTTAAAATATAAAGCACAATAAGTAAAATAATATAATAATTATTGTCAAAAAAGAATCAAATAAATGGTAATTAAGTTCATAAAACGCATAAAATTATATTATAATCATAATACTTATTCAATGTTTTGCCAACCACGAAATTGGCGATAACGGATTATTACTAATAGTTACCTAGAGTACCTACCTATTATCTTGTATACTATAGACATCTGTGATCAACGTTAATGACAAATATTTTCAAATGTTCTATAGAGGTCATTCTTGCAGATAACATACTAACAAATTTGTTTTTTTTTCGTTAAACCCCTAAAAATCATATTTTGGTGGACCAAATGTTAATTTTATTTAAAAATAGTTAGTACATCAAACTTTAATTGCGACATTGTCATTACTGGAAGTGTTCTAATTAGATCATAACGCAGAAATAGCCCACAATTGTTGATAACTAGATGGTAATATGGGAATTAAAAAATATTTTTTCTTGAGTAAGTTGACCTTAGTTCTACCTACTTTGTATGATGTAAACTGCGCACCTGCAGGCTGTGTCTCATTTGTTATCGTCAGTCAAAAATAGCAGGCCTCGATGCAAATTTTTAAACTGCAATAGTAGGTACCTACCTTAATTGAGTTCAGATGCGAAAAAAAACCCTGAACCAGAAATTCGGTGGCCGATGGGCTTTCATTTTTTTACCGGGTAGTAATTTGAATAAGGACCCCCAAAAAGTAAGACGTGAGCGAAATTTTATTTCGATATAACAATACAATACCAAACTTCAAAACTATATAACAAGTAATATAGGTACTCGCAGAGCCGTCCCGAGGTTTTTCGGGGCCAGGGGAAAATTAATTTGGCCCTGCTTCGACCATAATAATAAGATATGATAAACAAAATACTCACAGAGAATAAAAATTTTTTTATAAACGTATTTTTCCAAACTTAACCCTAATATTATTAAGGGAGCGTAATCCTTTCTATGGAGTAAAAACTAGGCATTTTATATGT